TCTCTCTCTCTCTCTCTCTCTCTCTCTCTCTCTCTCTCTCTCTCTCTCTCTCTCTCTCTCTCTCTCTCTCTCTCTCTCTCTCTCTCTCTCAAGTTGACAGCGATGTAAAGAGTGTGCACCTAGCACAGCGAGGGGCAGGCGGTGGCATCTGGCCATCTTCTTGGTATCTAACATCAAAACTTGTATTTCTATAGCTGTGTTCACCAAGAAAAAGACATAGGCGTATCGGTTTATAATAAACCTTAACTTGATATTTGTTAACCATAAATTGGGGAGTAAAGATAGCCTGTACGAGTCTTCAGAAGAGATTGGCCTAAAACAGAATACATGCCAGGGGAGTTGGTCTGCTAAAGGAGTACAGGTAGTCGCTCCCGAAGCCTGGCAGAGGCTGGAGTGAAGAGTTTCTGAAGTATCCACTGATCAGCTTCGCGGGGGGTCAACGTCCTGCCTCTACTGAGAATCGCGCGGCAAAAGCGCTGTACATGTACAGGTGGCGTGCAACTGTCAGCTTCTTACCAACAGCAAGACGTATAACGGCCTCTTTTCGCACAGGAACTGCTGACATGAGAGTTTAATTTCTTAATTCTATCCGCTTTTCTCAGCTGTCCGCGCCTCACGCGATGTTTCAACCGCCATCCGCCCTGACGAGTTGAAAGCATCCAATACAATTTCAGCAAAGCAAACAAATAGTCTGGATGTGGGAATCTGTCTGATATTGACATTTATTACTGCCATTTCTTAGCACATTTTCGTCATCATTTCATACTTGATGTGTCCCAGTGAAAGAGCCCCAAAACAAGTGACGTGAGGAATCCATTATTCTTAGTACCACCAATAGATAGTTAGAACCAGCCTACGATGTGAAACATTGTAGTTACATCGAATTTTTGTCACACGCATATCAGTATGCCATGGGAATGGTTGATTCAACTTACTAAAGAATGACCAGGAAGTGACTTTGAAATTCCAGTTTTACCGTGATGAAATCGTTTTGGATGGCTTTAAGACTGGGCGGGGAAGGGGCGGAGACAAGAGCCGGGAACCATCGGCTCCGAACGTCGCACGAACCGAGCCTCTCCTAACAATACACCCCGCATTTTCATAAATCGTCTCGGGTCAATTTTCCTCACTTTACACCAACTTTTAAGTCCGCGGACCAATCCCAGGGGTGGTAAATAATTAAATAAAATCTGCTGCTGAATATCCATGATCGCCGGCCTGTATTGTGTTAGCTTCATTACTATGAAATATTAATCCCTCGCACACCGGGCACGGCGGAAAATAACTCGTAAAATTTCTGCGGTGGACAGTTTTTTATTGATTTTCGCGGGCTCCGGAGAGATAAAGCCTCAATCAGTGGGGAGGGGAGGGCCGGGGGCAGACTGCCACCTTCCGTCACGTGACATTTGGCTCCACCGTGCGTGCGTAGTCTGCCAAAATCGCAAACTTTTCTCAACACTCTAGAAGAACGGAACGCACTTGTGCTGAAAGTGTTCAAACGTGCCTGTACTTGACTTGGCAGGGAGTGACGGTACTATAATATCTGTCCGCCGCGGATGGATCCCCCTGATTATTTATACCAGCGCGGCAGGAGAGGGACTATTACGTGATTGAGCGGGGCCCGTTTTCCCCGTGAATGGCTATATCGGTACCTCTAATTTGATTTTATACGAAAGATGAGCGCTATCAAGCCCTTCCCTCAATGTACTGATTCACAATCAGGCCGGACGGGGCTCGTGCACGGAGAGGGGCGCCCTGGGTTATCTCCGCCAGGTTGAACCGTCGCGCAGAAAGCCAACCCCCGTTTACAAAGCCTTTGATCCCGACTATATATTCTACCTCTTTATCCCCTGACATTGGGCTGGAGGGAGATTAGAAAGCCCTGCGTGTTTTTCACCGGTGAATCACGTCATTTCGCGCCAGTTTTGGGACGCGGGCACACCCACCTGACAGACGACATCACATTAAAACGTGTCACAATCCGTTCATTATCGTCTGCTTTTTTCGTCCAAAATAACTACTACCCGAGGCAGCGATTTTCTGAGCAAGAAAATGCGGAAGCGGAACACGCTATAAGTTTCCGTTTTTGTAGCTATATAGTAGTGTCCCGTTGTAAGTCTAGGCATGAATATGTCAGGCAGAGAAGGCTCTAAGGGGGTTTCTGTGAGGCGTTTTGCGCGGAATTAAACGGGGCAGTCATGAATGAAAATGGCACCGGGCTCCTCCATTTCCCGCCAAGTAGCCGGTGTTAATGGAACTCAATCCAAAGCAATATAATACCGGTGCGGTAAAGTACCCTCTCTATACTACAATTGCAGCAGGCTTTTTGCTAAACCCTGTTGTGTGGAAGTTACGAGTAGAGACTATAGCTAAGAGAGAGAGAGTTGCGTGGTGATGTATAGTCCGGCCGGACCGGGCCGACGTGCGGAACACTTTTGACGAGGTGACCCTCATTCATACAAACGAGTTGACTTTTGTAATACAGGCCGAGCCATCGATTCGCTGCCCCGCCGCGAGACGAACGATCGAAGGAGAGGCGGTAATCTGTTGGAGCGGGGCACAAAACGGCATTCATCACGCTCGGGGAGAAGCCTGAGACTCTGATACGTGTCATAAAGCGGGGGAAGTGGATGATCGGAGTGCCATACCTGTTAAGAACGCCATTCCGAGAGTCGCACGCTCGGCTTGCGCGGGAACGAACCGACCTCTGGGTTGAGAGCGAACGGAGGAGAGTGGGGGAGCGATGAGGTGGACCTCTGTTGGGCATCATCAGTCAGCTGTGGCATCTTTAATCCTGCTGAGGTGGGGAGGGGGGCGAGCCGTTGTCTACCGTCTGCCGTGAAGTGTCATCTGCACCGGTTGGATGGGTAGGTTGACCGGTTACCCCGGTGCTAGCTGTGTGTGTCGGGACCGGCCCAGCTGATTTGACGACCGATGACGTGGAAAGGGAGGTGACAGGGACGGGCCATCCCCACCTGCAAATACAAACAAACATCATGTCCGAGCGGGAAAACGATCGACAGACGTGCATGTTACACCGGGACAGGACCCCACACGCGAGGAGAGAGAACTACCAAGGCAATCGCCGTGCCGATTCCCTCCGGAAATAGCTGAATATCGGTTGCCTATATCAACGCGGCGATAGAGCGCAGAGCGGGCCTGTAATGTAGACGTTCCGGGGGAGAAGATGTCACAGGGAGAGGATCAATACAGACTCCTGGCCCGCCGTGAGACAGGGCCGTGCGGAACGTACGGAGTCAGTGTCCGCTCCGTGTGTTTGGCTGCCTAGGCAACCGTGGATCGACCCTTCCCCTGGCGGCGGGCGCACTAGGCGGCAGGCATGTGCGCCGCGCTGGCCGGCTGTTGCACAACCCGGCGGCGGCACGAGTAATCCCTGCCCGTCCAACCTGCCATGCGTAATTGGACCCATTTCGTCAATTTACCTACCGCTTTAATACTCGGTGCCGGGATGAGGCCGGGGGGTTCCGCACGACGCCGGCGACGGTGCCACGGGCCTGGCTCCCAGCGTCCTGCACGGTGTTTCCCCTCACTGCCACTCACTACCGACGTATTATGGAAATCGCTCCAGGCGGGTACGACCCATTATATATAGGTAGCGTCAGCGCCAGTCAGCGAGAATATTTGAATGATATTTTAACAGCGCAAATTGCGAGCTGTCACGCGAGGGATCTAGCCCGGTCTCCCGACGTTCTCTCTGTGCGTGGATGTGACAGTAATCCCCCGGGTCGGCCCATGGACTCACGCGCCGCGCCTAGGGCGGGAACACAGAGGACACACAGGGCAAAGAACCAACCGGGCAACCTTGTGGACACACAGCTGAGCAACGAAAAGTTACTGAAGGATTTTGTACGGTGTGGTTTACGACAGAAAGGTGCCTGGACAGGTGAGGTCGTCGGCGGACAGTCACCTTTACACCTGCGTGCCTGGCGGGATCCTAACGTGCATTCCCGGTCAGCAGCCAGGCTTGTGTTGTATACTGGGCTGATGTGGCTTAACCAGGACGGGAGAAAATAATCTTTGCATCACAAGTATATCCTGTTGTAGAACAGTATGGGGAGGGGGGCAGTGACTTCTAACTAGTGGTCTGAGACTATATACATTGTGGTAAGATATCACGTCCAACGCTTTGTGTGTTACTGATAATGCATAAGGGCATTTGACTTTGTAACATGAAGTAATTTATTATTTCCCTACAACTCGTATTGTTCCTCACTCTTTCTTTCGATTCAATTCATACTGTTGAACACAACCGGGTCAGCTTGTAATATAATCGTTATCGCCCATGTCTTGTGATGCGCAATGAATATAGATGTCCATCAATAGAATAGAAGAATTTAGAATGACAGCGTAGTCAAACTTAATTGAAACTTTGTGACAACTTTTGAGTAAGTTTACAAAGGTGTGAAACTTTTTAAAAGCCGCTCAGGGCACTTGGGAACGCTACTATTATAACAATGCATTATCCATAAAATGGACCGCATTTTGAAATATTCATACCAAAATTGATTTAAAATCCCCCCTCGCGAAGATGACTGTCCGTTGAAAGTAGCCATTTTTCACCGACCAGCGCGAATTTCTCCCCTCCGACAGGAAAAACGTTTTAGACGTGGCAGCGCGCGCACGAGATCGCGGACAACCATCCATCCCGCGTGTCGCAAAGAGCCGGCCGCTCGCGTGACTTTCCCGCGCAACAAAAGAAGGCCCTAATCAAAATTTGATGAATGGATTTCAAAGACAACAATGGGCAGATATCATGATCAATTGGCCGAGCCTTTTGGCGCAAAATTAGCGTAAGAACCATCGCTATGGGGCGGACGGAGCTCCGCGAGAGAAAATATCGGTTCCATAAATTCTTCTGGCAAGTCCAAGTACTGAGAGGAGTAACGGTTTAAACGGTTTCATGTGGTTGTAGCGTTTTCGAAGCAAAGATCGCGTTTCGCAGACGGATTGTGTTTATCTACAGCTGATCCCATTTTGATCCGTAGGATCAAGGACGATAAGTCCGCTGTCAAAGGCGATCTATTCGGGCGTTGCTATGGCGACCGTGGCTCTGTTTAAGGGAAGTTATGTAACAGGTGGTCGCCGGTAATCACCAAGCAGATGTCTGGCGGCAAAAGCGTTACGGTTAGAACGGATCATCAAGGGAGAGTCCTCGGGCACTCAGACCAATGGTAACTGTCTGACGAATAGATACTGCCAATGATACTGCCTGGCCTATTTTATACTGTCTTTGCAGCCACCGAAAGATCTACTTTGAGATTCGTCGCCGGAGCCTGATCAAGCTTTGTAGTTTTTTTTTTTTTACTTTGAATCCATATTTTGATAAGCCAAAAGAAAACAATACAGTGCATTAGCGGTAGTGGTGGTGGTAGGGACCGCGAGTTGTAAAATAGGCGGTAAAATCCTTCACGGCTTACGAGCGCTTTTACCGCTGTGTTTGGGGGGGCTTTGCTATAAAACGGCTTACGCTGTGCACAGCGATCCTAACGTCCAACACTAACGCGTGTTTTCACTTAGAGGAACCGCAAAATGTACTTCTGTTTGCTCTAATAGCACAACAGTGTTTGAAGAACACACTCGCGTATCTGTCTTAGGCCATATTTCCACCAAGCGATAATCACTGAGCGACCGTGCAGCGACCAACATTGGATTTGTGTGACCGTTGACTTCATAATTGAAATATGCTGTAAAATGTCAACGTATGACTTAAAAGACAACAAAACACACAGAACGTTTTAAAATGTCACTCTTTATCCATGGAATTCGTTGAACGATCTGTCAAATCTTAAGTTGCTCAGTGGTCGCTGCCTCTAGTAGAAAAGAGGATGTTCCACAAGGCAGAGTTGTTGAGGAGGTGTAACATAGCGCAGTCGTGTAGTTCAGGGCACGACACCATTACCAGAAAGTAGGGCTGTAATGCGCGGCGTGTTCTAATGAATAGTTGACATAATTACAGACTCTCCCGGCTTGAATGATGGCTTCCATCGCTGCCAACGTTGAAATTAGTTGGTAACGAAATAATATGTAGTTTCGTCCTCTTTGTATAGTAATATTTTGTATCATTGATAGAATGTTATTTTGAATGATTCACATGCAGATATTTATATATAATTGTATATATATGTATCTGTCTTTATTATAATGGTTTTAGCCGCAACACATAAAGCCGGGTTTTCCCGCTATACACGGCAACTGATGGCGGTTCATGTAACTAATACTGCTTTCGTCATCATATCATGTACGTAGATCATATCCTTAACGTAGATTTGACACTATTGTACAAATGTTTCTCTCAGAAGCTACGTTACGTTTGATCAGATTCCCGTATATATGCCAAGCGCCAGGAACTGTACATGTTTTAGGTTTCATCCACATTTTTTGTTGCTGAATGATGCGTTGGAATTTAAAGGTACCTAATTCACCATTTCAAGTTGCAAGGCTAATGCAGTAAAGTACTATTAGCATATACTTTTCAGAACTACGTACGACGTACGGATATCATACAAGACTGTTGCATAGTAGCATCACACACTATTGTATTATAGAGCACATACCTTACCTTACCTTAGACCACAGAATCTAGCTATTCTGATTACACTACACTACACTATAATTCGGTAGACCCTATGAATATTGCAGGACAAGTACACGACTATCCAAGAATGCCGTCAGTTTGCGATCATACAACATCTGTGACCGGGCCCTTTTAGACATTCATTCATTTCCCGGTATTCCCTTGGAAATACACAACTGTAAAACGTTTCCGCCCTTCCAACAAATCAGCTGATTTTGCGTGGCACGACTTCTCGATAATGACTTGGCGCTTCAACGCGACTTTAAAAACGCTCTGTACCGGTGAAAGAACTAGACATTCGGCGTGCGCCAGCCAACAAGAGTCGTAAATAATTCCGTTCCGGGCTTTGTTGTGAAAGGCTGTATTGGCAGGTATTGAGCTGGACCTGGGGGCTGACGGCTTGTTTAGTGCTGTACGTGCTTTCACCCTAACAGTCGCGTGTAAGACTTGACCATAACGTTTAGCCCGCAGTTTTACAACCAAATAGGCGCCAATAAATTTCACTTACGTTAGCGTTAGGGCTAGTCCATTATTCCAACGTTGGGGGGATGCGGGTATCTTATAGTGGATCATAGTACAGTGTAGACTTATTTCCCTTCATCCTTTATGGAGTTTGCATTGATTTCTACGCATTTCTAGTGCATCTGCATTCGATTTGTCAGAGTAGTATTGTTAAATCGACCGTAAGACATGACTACATTATGCAAAGAATATTTTGCATCAGGCGTCTTGTCCTTTTTTAAGAAAAGTACAACACACACAGTCATCAGGTCCCGTTCTTCGCGACCGCTAGGCCACCACTGCCAGTGATGACGTCATTGACGGAACCCAAGGACATCCATACCCGTTTTTTTGTCACGATTTAGCCAACTTTGCATCAGAATTGTGTCTGTTGCAGGTGATATATTTTTCGATACAACATTTGAAAACTACTAGACGGGACGTCATCCTTAAATAGGAGACAACCTGCCGAATACATTACGGGTTTTGCAGTACGTCCCGCCGATGTGCAAGGACATCCAAATATGGAAATCGGCAACTTAGGTCGCCAAACCTCCGTGTGATTTATGACCCTTTTTTATCTGTTACAAAGCGAGGCGTTTGATCGATACAGGGTGCTCTTTTGCTTCATACATATCTGTCAGGTTTTCACGATTTCGATATGCGGGAGATCCCGAGATTTCCAAAAGGGACAAAAGAATATCGCGGCTCCGATTTGGTACCCGTAACGCGTGCCATCACAGGTGCGCCGTGCGCAGGTCAAGCAGGCTTCACTGCAAATTTACTCCAGACAACCAAGACTGGCGACCCTGAGATCGTGAGCTGAAATAAAAGTACGACTGAGGTGGTTGAAAGCAATGTTTGCAAGTGGCTGGACTAAAAATAAGCATGAGGACACAATCCTCCGTAACGTAATTATGGTGTTTGCGTTGTGGCTATGATACCGTCGTAACCACCGACATGCCAAATTTCAGACAAATCCATCGAAAGGATCTTGATTCATAGATTTATAGGTGCGAAGGCACAGACACGGGCATAAAAGAACAGAACTTTCGCTCCACAGAACAACAGAAACGTCTGTGTTATAGTAACCATAAGGTACACGGCCGAGAGTTCGACCTAAAGTTTCTCTCCGTCGAACAAAATAAAATGATGGTGTAAAAGAAACTTGGACTAAATTCACTTGAGAAAAAAAATAGCAGTAGCTCTTTGCAGAGAGAAAGTTTGCCACCGAGTTGACCTATGCAACAAAGTTGCGGAAGGATCTAATGTACCAGAGGAATTCTCACTAGCAACACTAACGTTTATAATGCACGTTACCGCCCCTTCTCTCCCTTCCCCAGGGTTAAACACTGGACCAGCCCCAGAGAGCGTGGGACCCTGATAATTAATTAATGGAGACACCTGACATCTGGCCCAGTAGTTATACACGAGAGAGATGACTCCCTTGAGATAGGAGGCGCACCGGGTAGTGCTCTCCAAAGGACCGCATGCAAGGCCACTTTAAAACTTTGTCACAAAATCTAACCAAGTGGCTTTAATCTAGATGAAAATTTGATGATTCCTTTTTTCTGGACAGCTTCAGGCTGACAACCGGTGTCCCAAATGATTGTTTGGTGGCACGCCAGTGGTCCGTGCCCTTTAGGAACTCGGTTCTTCGTCGTTTCGCATTATTGTGGCGATGTTTTACAGACCAAGTTGCGTGTAGAAAAATTTCCGCTGGACTTCACCCATAGTACAAATCTCCAGGCATATTCCTTCGAGGGAAAGGCGGTATAGTATCGAACTGTGCCCAGTTAATGGTAACTGGTGTCCAATTTGATCGTGCTTTGCCTCCAACGGAATCCGCTTCCAGATTACTATAGTGCTACGGTACTGGTGGTATTGTACTTTCCAAGCAGAGGTTGACTGGGACCTTCTTCTATGTACTGTACTCTGACATTGACAACTGGCTCAATCAACGGTGGCCTGTGTGATAGTGTCTTGGCCATTGGATATCTTACCGGTTGTTCACGGTACTGTTTTGTGTACTGTTTCACTGTCACTTCTGTACCGTGAACGTATCATTACAGTTAACAAATGATTCCTGGAATTTCCTTTTTCCTGCACCTGTCGCCACAGTGAATATATAGTTCCGTGAACATGTCCGTTTTTCTCAGAACGTGAACTTTTGCTAGTTCTGCCGACGTGCTGTGCATGGTATCCTCCATACACCCGGTGCATCATGGTCTTGACGGGAAAATGACAGTCACGCTTCCAGCATC